AAAAGTGGAAGGGGTGTGAATACTTTCTGAATGCACTGTATATTATTTGTCTTATGGAAGGCAGTGAGTTGCTGCGCAACAGCTTTTTCTAACATTTTTGAGAGGAATGGGAGATTCGGTATAGGCCGATTTAGTTTTTTACATTTTCCGGGTCAAGGTTTGGCTTTTTCAAGAGAGGCTTCATTACTGCCACTTTTAGTGAGTTTGGTACACATCCAGAGTATAGGGAGCCGTTTATTATGTTCAACATAGGAGGGCCAAGCACAGGAAGTAGCTCTTTCAGTAGTGTAGTTGGAATAGGGTCCAGTATGCAGCTGGAAGGTTTAGAGGCCATTACTATTTTCGTGAATGTGTCAAGAGATGCTATTGGAGGTGTGGCTTTCAGATATTTCTTTATGGCCACCCGTGAGAGTAAATGTCATTCATGTTATGTTTGTACATTGCAAATTACAATGATCCTTCAATATTTTTACACATTACATATTGCAATATAAAATTAACTATTATAAAAAGACTAACACTATTATTAAATATTATAACATAACTATCTGAAAGCCACACCTCCAGTCTTCTGATCTTACATTGGATAAAAGTAGAGAATCAAAGCTACAAAATGGTATATCATACACTGCAGTTGAGGAAAAATGGAAAAGTAATTCTGCTTTGAAAGTTGATAAACCCACATTTGAGAAAATGGCCCTTGAATGTTTGGTACACCTACTGGAAATCTCTTCTTTGTCTACACCCATTCAGCATAATTCACACCCTCTTAAGCCTTAGCCCCACCCATCTCTTTAAGGATTCACATGTGAGGCCATGCGATAAACAGAGTGAGTAAGGTAGTGTAGTAAAACAACCCAAAATGGTCAAGACTAAAAGTGGTTAAAAATACACTTTATATAGTCCTTGGCCTATATCCTAATCTGAATTTGGTGCAGGTCATGTTGTTCTTCACATTACCGTCTCTGATAAAACACACACTATATCAAATAAAATCTAAGTTTATTTGTCACATGCACAGGATACAGAAGGTGTAAACAGTACAGTGAAATTGTTATTTTATAATTAACCACCCCAAAGCCATGTGTTGCTAAGTGGATGGGTCTCTACAGAAGGTGTAAATGGTACAGTGAAATGGTTACTTGTATATTTACACAGTAGCAATATCAAACATAGAAAGAGTCAATATTTTAAAAAACAAGAACAAAAAGTGTTAATGCCAGTAGAGAAAGAACAAAATAATATACAGTACAAGAACAATATCAATAATGATATCAGTGACAGTGGTGATAGATGAGGTAGATATATGCATACAATCAGAGGAAAAGCGTCTGAGAAGCAGGATAACAAAAAAGATTGTAGCAGCAATGTATGGTGTGTGTGTGTGTGTGTGTGTGTGTGTTTGTGTGTGTGTGTTAGGAGAGAGTCATGTGAATGTGCATAGAGGCAATGCAGATAGTCCGGATGACTTGGGAACTCGCCCCCAAGTGATGAACTGGTCCGTCCACACCATACATGAACAAGATAATCTATATTCGGAGAGCCTGTTTCTGTCCTGCCCTTGACTTTGGTGCAGGGCATCTGATGCCCTCTTCGTTGCAAAAAAGTTAAGTTTGTCTAGTTGTGTCCAGTCCAGGTGGTGCTTGTACAGGCAGACCATCTAAGGGAGGAAGGACGTCAGTGTTGCGCAGCAGCTGAAACCTGGTCCTACTGGTTACAATGAAGAATGTAAACAAAATAATTAAAATAAATCCTATTCATAATGAATAATCAGATGCATGTTGCAAGCTTGTCCATTTTCCTTTATTTTTGTATTTTTTAGTAAGATTTTTTGTTGTTGTTGACAATATGAAACATACACATACAAACGAAAACTACATCACACCTGCTCACCTCCCCCCCATCCCCAAGCGCCCGCATCACTCTCCTCCACATGGCCTCAAACTGCACCATTTTGTTTCTCTCATTCGCCCACGCACTTTCAACATTTGGATAATAAAGCATTTAAAGGCTGACATTGGTTGATTTTCATTTTTTAAGTATACAGTGAGGGAAAAAAGTATTTGATCCCCTGCTGATTTTGTACGTTTGCCCACTGACAAAGACATGATCAGTCTATCATTTTAATGGTAGGTTTATGGAGACAGAATAACAACCAAAAAAATCCAGAAAAACACATCTCAAAAATGTTATAAATTGATTTGCATTTTAATGAGGGAAATAAGTATTTGACCCCTTCTCAATCAGAAAGATGTCTGGCTCCCAGGTGTCTTTTATACAGGTAACGAGCTGAGATTAGGAGCACACTCTTAAAGGGAGTGCTCCTAATCTCAGTGTGTTACCTGTATAAAAGACACCTGTCCACAGAAGCAATCAATCAATCAAATTCCAAACTCTCCTCCATGGCCAAGACCAAAGAGCTCTCCAAGGATGTCAGGGACAAGATTGTAGACCTACACAAGACTGGAATGGGCTACAAGACCATCGCCAAGCAGCTTGGTGAGAAGGTGACAACAGTTTGGTGCGATTATTCTCAAAGGGAAGAAACACAAAAGAACTGTCAATCTCCCTCGGCCTGGGGCTCCATGCAAGATCTCACCTCGTGGAGTTGCAATGATCATGAGAACGGTGAGGAATCAGCCCAGAACTACACGGGAGGATCTTGTCAATGATCTCAAGGCAGCTGGGACCATAGTCACCAAGAAAACAATTGGTAACACACTACGCCGTGAAGGACTGAAATCCTGCAGCGCCCGCAAGGTCCCCCTGCTCAAGAAAGCACATATACAGGCCCGTCTGAAGTTTGCCAATGAACATCTGAATGATTCAGAGGAGAACTGGGTGAAAGTGTTGTGGTCAGATGAGACCAAAATCGAGCTCTTTGGCATCAACTCAACTCGCCGTGTTTGGAGGAAGAGGAATGCTGCCTATGACCCCAAGAACACCATCTCCACCGTCAAACATGGAGGTGGAAACATTATGCTTTGGGGGTGTTTTTCTGCTAAGGGGACAGGACAACTTCACCGCATCAAAGGGTCGATGGACGGGGCCATGTACCGTCAAATCTTGGGTGAGAACCTCCTTCCCTCAGCCAGGGCATTGAAAATGGGTCGTGGATGGGTATTCCAGCATGACAATGACCCAAAACACATGGCCAAGGCAACAAAGGAGTGGCTCAAGAAGAAGCACATTAAGGTCCTGGAGTGGCCTAGACAGTCTCCAGACCTTAATCCCATAGAAAACTCTGTGGAGGGAGCTGAAGGTTCGAGTTGCCAAACATCAACCTCGAAACCTTAATGACTTGGAGAAGATCTGCAAAGAGGAGTGGGACAGAATCCCTCCTGAGATGTGTGCAAACCTGGTGGCCAACTACAAGAAACGTCTGACCTCTGTGATTGCCAACAAGGGTTTTGCCACCAAGTACTAAGTCATGTTTTGTAGAGGGGTCAAATACTTACTTCCCTTATTAAAATGCAAATCAATTTATAACATTTTTGACATGCATTTTTCTGGATTTTTTTGTTGTTATTCTGTCTCTCACTGTTCAAATAAACCTACCATTAAAATGATAGACTGATCATGTCTTTGTCAGTGGGCAAACGTACAAAATCAGCAGGGGATCAAATACTTTTTTCCCTCACTGTAAGCATTTCGCTGCACCTTTTATACCTCCTGTAAACTGTGTATGTGACAAATACAATTTGATTTGATTTGATAGTTTGGTAAGACTGAATGAGTGTGGTTGATTTGTCTTCTGTTCTGTGACCTCACAGACACAGATAGCTGTGTCGCCTACTAAAGAATGTGTCCAATATTTATTTACCAAGAAGAATGTGTGCATTCATTCTCTGCTGATTTTTTAAAAAGGAAACTGAACGCTAAGAAACACATCTGAATATTGCAATTAACTGTGACAGGGGTCGGCAAGATTAAATTAGATCGTTTTTCATTGTTCAAGATAAAGTCTATGGGTGTTTCTCAATATGCATACTACCGTGCTCCACACTCCCATGCTCTGAGTGCATTCTTCGAGGGCATTGTCTTGAGTATGTTGTTATTAGGACGAGAGTGTGGAGAACGTATACATTTTACATTTGAGAAGCACTCTCCTGTGCTACTGCATTACCTTTGGCCTTTTATACTAAATTCCATTCTGAACATGTCAGCTGTTCATCTATGCTGGACTTTCCTGGATCACAACTACCCTCTGTAACTAATGTTATATGTTAAACATTTGTAGATCTGAACATCTGATTTTGTTTACTATATTGCACTATTGTCAGTGAAGCAATTGAGACTGTTAATCTGTTTGTGTTTTGTATTATTTAGCTACATAGAAATTTGGTTAACGAAAGAAGCTAGTTAGCTAGCTAAGATAGTTAACGTTAGCAAGAGAAGACTCGCGTTTACATTATATGCATTAGCTTGCAACATATTTAACATGCCGTTGACATAGAACATTAGCATAGATAATGACCCTACTTCTCTACTAGCAAAATATAACTTGCTAGTGCAGTAGGTATAGGTTATCCCTCGTCTTGATCCATGGTTATTTAGCAAGCTGCTCAAGTTAGCTGGCTAGCTAAGCTATCATTTGCCATGATCCATGGCTACATGGGCTACTACACAGCCTGCAAAGACTCTGTCAACCCTGCGAAAACATGCCAATAGCTACGCAAAAAAATGCACATGCTGACGATACACGGACACGGCAGCTAGCAGCCAAGTTTCTGGAAGGTTGAACGTCTCCTCTTCTACTCAGCATCCCGACAAAAGCTTCTCCCATGCGGGTGTGACACCTACTCCCTTTGCCTGCTGCACTGCTGCTTGGATCCCAACCGGCTGCTCCCCATCTGCCCTGGCCTGTCTCTCCCCCCCACACACACACATTCCCCCCTCTACACTGCAAAGTTCTCCCTGTCCTCTGCCATGCCCTGATTATAGTACTCTTGATGCTGTCTGGAAATGTGCATCTACCCTGGCCCATCTATTGTTGCTAGCCCCAAATCGGATTGTGCTCTGATGATTTCTGCTTCACTGATTTCTGCTCTTACAAAAGCCTGGGGTTTCTGCACGTTAACACTAGAAGCTTATTACCTAAAATGTATCAATTGAAAGTGTGGGTTCACAGCTCCATTCCAAATGTGTTGGTCATTACTGAGACATGGTTAAGAAAGAGTGTTCTGAACACTGATGTTAACCTTTCTGGTTATAACGTTTTTCAGCAAGATATATCTTCCAAAGGTGGAGGAGTGGCAATCTTTACCAAGGAACACCTTCATCCTCAGTTGTCTCCACCAAGTCTGTCCCCAAACAATTTGATTTGCTGGTTTTAAGCATTACATTTTTTAAATAGATCTTTGTTGACTGTTATTGGGTGTTATCGTCCACCATCAGCACCGGCCTGTACCCTACATGCCCTAAGCTCTCTCCTGGCCTCTTACACTAAGGCTGAATTTGTCCTGCTATGTGACCTAAACTGGGACATGCCACCTGACCAAGTCTTAAAACAATGGGACTCCCTAAATCTCTCTCAGATTATTACCAATCCCACAAGGTATGACTCCAAACACCCAGAAAAGGCTACTCTCCTTGATGTTATCCTCACAAATAATCCTGACAGGTATCAGTCTGGTGTTTTCTGTAATGACCTTACGACCTGTGTTCTTAATGGCTGCTCAGTTAAACGACTTGTCTTGAATTGTCATAGACGCTTGCTGAAAAGCTTCCTTCATGACCTGGCCTCTGTAAATTGGTATAGAATCAGCTTGATCCCCTCTGTCGAAGATGCTTGGACCTACTTTTTTGAACTTTTCAGTGGTATTGTTAACAAGAACACCCCCATAAAGAAAATGAGAATTAAAAACAGGTTCAGCCCCTGGTGCGACCGTGATCTGGCAGAGTTACTCCCCCTCAAGAACACCATTTAGTGAAAGGCTTGGAACAAAAATACTCAGGCTGACTGGCTGTCATTCAGGCAAATGAAAAATAAATGCACTCAGGCTATCCGGAAGACCAAAGTTAGTTACTTTAAGGAGCAGTTCTCGCTCTGTTGGTCTAACCCCAAGAAGTTCTGGAAAATAAACTCTCCTCTTAAGGATAAGACCTTTTTTTCAATTTTCGCCTAAAATGACATACCCAAATTGAACTGCCTGTAGCTCAGGACCTGAAGCAAGGATATGCATATTCTTTGAAATGATACCATTTGAAATGAAACACTTTGAAGTTTGTGGAAAATGTGAAATTAATGTAGGAGAATTTAACACATTAGATCTGGTAAAAGATAATACAAACACAAAAACATGCGTTTTCTATTTTTAGTTTTTGTTCCATCATCTTTGAAATGCAAGAGAAAGGTCACAATATAATATTGCAGTTTAGGCACACTTTAGATTTTGGCCACTAATTGGCGGCAGTGTATGTGCAAAGTTTCAGATTGATCCAGTGAAGCATTGCAATACTGGACTATTTTGTATCAAGTCTGCCCAAATGTGCCGAATTGGTCAATTGATACATTTTCAAGTACATAACTAAAGAAAGCATACAAAAATGATATGGTAATATAAAATGTAAGTTTACACACTCCATACACTAACTTTCACACATCTAGATGGCCGGGCGGGGTGGGTGTGGAGCCAGAGACAGCAGGGGTTGCAACTGTAGAACCCTGTTCCTACATTTGAATATAAAAATTGATTTTATCAAACAAAACTATGCTACATTTTATCTCGTGTACCCTTACCATGACAATTCAGAGCAAGATTACTGAATGTAAGTACATTATTTAGGTTAATGTATCAAACCAGTTGCCGTGATACGTTTTTTGTTGTTGTGCACTCTCCTCAAACAATAGCATGGTATTTTTTCACTATAATAGCTACTGTCAATTGGACAGTGCAGTTAGATAAACAAGAATTTAAGCTTTCATGTCTATGTCCTGGAAAGTTTGCTGTTACTTACAACAGTCATGCTAATCACATTAGCACACGTTAGCTCAACCGTCCCGTATACGGGACACTGATCCTGTAGAGGTTAATCACCACTTCATTAAGTCAGGATTCATGTTTGACTCAGCCATGCCTTCTTGCCCATCCAACGCTTCCTCATCTCCCAGCCCTTCTAATGTGACTAGCCCTGATGCTCCTTCCTCTTTTCCCCCTTCCCCTCTACACAGCTTCTCCCTGCAGGCAGTCACTGAGTCTGAGGTGCTAAAGGAGCTCCTTGAACTTGACCCCCCAAAAACATCTGGGTCAGATGGTTTAGATCCTTTCTTCTTTAAGGTTGCAGCCCCTATCATCACTGAGCCTGTCTCTGCTCTCTGGGGAGATTTCCAGTGCTTGGAAGGCAGCCACAGTATGTCCTTTATTTAAAGGGGAGATCAAGCTGATCCTAACTGTTATAGGCCAATTTCCATATTGCCATGTTTATTTAAAGTGTTGGAAAAACTTGTCAATAATCAACTGACTGGCTTTCTTGATGTCTATAGTATTCTCTCTGGTATGCATTCTGGTTACCGCTCAGGTTATGGATGTGTCACTGCAACCTTAAAGGTCCTAAATGATGTCACCACTGCCCTTGATTCTAAGCAATGTTGTGCTGCTATTTTTATTGACTTGGCCAAAGCTTTTGATACGGTAGAAAATTCCATTCTTGTGGGTCGGCTAAGGAGTATTAGTGTCTCTGAGGGGTCTTTGGCCTGGTTTGCTAACTACAAAGAGTGCAATGTGTAAAGTCAGAACATCCGCTGTCTCAGCCACTGCCTGTCACCAAGGGAGTAGGTCAAGGCACGATCCTAGGCCCCACGCTCTTCTCAATTTACATCAACAACATAGCTTAGGCAGTAGGAAGCTCTCTCATCCATTTATATGCAGATCATACAGTGTTATATTCAGCTGGCGCCTCCCCAGATTTTGTGTTATACGCTCTGCAACAAAGCTTTCTTAGTGTCCAACAAGCTTTCTCTGCCCTTAACCTTGTTTTGAACACCTCCAAAACAAAGGCTATGTGGTTCGGTAAGAAGAATGCCGCTCTCCCCCTCCCCCACCGGTGTGATTACTACCTCTGAGGGTTTAGAGCGTGAGGTAGTCGCTTCATACAAGTACTTGGGAGTATGGCTAAATGGTACACTGTCCTTCTCTCTGCACATATCCAAGCTGCAGGCTAAGGTTAAATCTAGACTTAGTTTCCTCTATTGGAATCGTTCCTCTTTCACCCCAGCTGCCAAACTAACCCTGATTCACATAACCATCCTACCCATGTTAGATTACGGAGACATAATTTATAGATCAGCAGATAAGGGTGCTCTCGAGCGGCTAGATGTTCTTTACCATTCGGCCATCAGATTTGCCACCAATGCTCCTTACAGGACACATCACTGCACTCTATACTACTCTGTAAATTGGCCATCTCTGTATCCCCGGCGCAAGATCCACTGGTTGATGCTTATTTATAAAACCCTCTTAGGTCTCATTCCCCCTATCTGAGATACCTACTGAAACCCTCATCCTCCACATACAATACCCGTTCTGCCAGTCACATTCTTTTAAAGGTCCCCAAAGCACACACATCCCTGGGTCGCTTCTCTTTTCAGTTCGCTGCAACTAGCTGCAAAAAAGCACTCAAACTGAACAGTTTTATCTCCCTCTCTACATTCAAAGACTTAATCATGGACACTCTTACTGACACTTGTGGCTGCTTCGTGTGATGTATTGTTGTCTCTACCTTTTTGCCCTTCGTGCTGTTGTCTGTGCCTAACAATGTTTGTATCATCATGTGTTGAGGAAAACTCGTTCCAGGAATCAGGCAGAACTTATCAGCCATAAGAGTTTATTCAAGCAATTGCAAGGGAGATCACTCTCAGGATACACCTTAGAGGAACTAAAAAGGTACAGAATCACACAGTCATTATATACTTCTTCTAGACAAAGAGCTGCTTGCCTTCTTTAAAGCATTGTACAAACAAGAACAGGTTATAATCAGTTCTCACAGCCTATGTGTCTAAGAGAGGGGAGTGATGAGTTCTGTAAAGCCTATTCAGTTAAAAAAAGAATCCGGCCATGAGCTGGGCCCCTAGTGCTGAAGCGATAAGGAGCCAACAGCAAATCACTCCTTCTTGCGGTGGGTGAAGAGGGTACAAGTTAATACAGTACATATAGTACTATTCAACTCAAGCATTTACATAGCATTAGACTGTAACAGAACCATTTTGCCCTGACACGTTTGTGCTGCTACCATGTTTAGGGCTGTGGCGGTCTGGACATTTTGTCAGCCGGTGATTGTCAAGCAAATAACTGCCAGTCTCAAAGTAATTGACCGTTAATTAACATAAACACATTTAGCATCTCCTGGCTTCCACACATATCCTACAAGCCACTGATGCAGACCTTTGAAAAATCTAAATTTTTAAAAGTCTAATAAATCCATGCAATATAGCCTACACCATCACAATAAATCCATTATTTATTTTAGACAGGTCTAAAGAAACATGATATGAAGAAAATGTAGTCTATTTCAGAAGAACAGAATAGCATACTCTGAGTTGTCCTTATGTTAGGCCCTGATCTGGCTATGCCATATGTCTGTGGGCTACACTAGTTCATTTAGCAGAGAACATTTGCTTAGAATTCCGTGGCATTATTTTATATTAGTTTATAGTATGAAGAATACAGTTGAACATAGCTGAATAAAATAGAAAGGATATTTTCTCCAAATGATTTGAGGGAGTGCTCACACACGACTATTCTATATTGAGCGGTTAACAAAGAAACAGGTACTCCTATATGCTTAATTTAGAGTTATTTAAGTAACTTTAGTTGTGATACAAATGCTGGGCTATATGTTTTGATTTTTAGTACATTCTAAGGCTGCATGATGTGACTAATGATGATTTGAAAAAAGTAGCATGAAAGGCATGAGCTCTGCTTTGTTTTTTTGCACAGGCTGTACACACTTCATCAGTCTCTCATTCACAATTTGACAAGCACTTGATAATGCCTCGAAATTCCCGGCTGCATCCCCTTTGTGTGGCCATAATCCCCCTAAAAAAAATCCATGCCATTTGCGGCCAGTGGCCGTTGTGCCCTTGGGCTGAATATAATAATTATAATTCCCTTCTCCCGGCTGTGTGTTGAAACACCTCTCTTTCTCACAGGCTACAAGTGAAGACAGACACATGGGGGACGCAACTACGTGTGTCCTTATCCAATTCCAAGGCGCATATTGAAGATATTGGAAGAACTGTCCACATTTACTTTTCATCAGCCAACAAGATGAGTAGGCCTAACGAACAGCAAAAGCACTAGCTTATGTCAATCTACTATCCCACCTGTGGAGGCTCCTCAGAGTAGGAAGGGGAGGACCATACTCCTCAGTGAATTTCATAAAAATAAAAATTGTAAAACATAAAAAATATATCATTTTTAGATAAAACTATGCTAAATATAACCATATCACCAAATAATTTATTAAAACACACAATTTTGCAAAGAAGGTCTACAGTAGCCTCAACAGCACTCCGTAGGGTAGAAACCATGGTGTAGCCGGAGGACAGCTACAGTAGCTTCTGTCCTCCTCTGGGTACATTGGCTTCAATACAAAACCTAGGAGGCTCATGGTTCTCACCCCCTTCCATAGACTTACACAGTAATTATGACAACTTCTGGAGGATGTCCTCCAACCTATCAGAGCTCTTGCAGCATGAACTGACATGTTGTCCACCCAATCAAAGGATCAGATAATTAATCTAGTACTGAAAGCATAAGTTACATCCAGCTAGCACTGCAGTGCATAACATGTAGTGAGTAGTTGACTCAAAGAGAGAGAAAGACAATAGTTTAACAATTTTGAACTAATTAATTTATTCCAAAATGAAGAAGTAAGAGAGAAATATATATAGAGAGATTGTCATTTTTTTCACTTTCAGTTTCACTTACTTAGCTAGCAAATGCAGATAGCTAGTTTAGCCTACTGAAACACCCTGCTCAAACAGAGGAATGCTATGTTAGCTAACTGGCTATGACTATCCAACACAACACTGGAACTATTTCAAGTCAAGGTAAGCTTTTGGTTTTACTAATTTATTGCCACCGGGGCCTGCCGGTGTAACTGCTTACTGACTGTATACCGTAACGTTACTGCATGATTGTAGTTGGTTTACTAACATGTTAGTCCTATTAGCTATGCTGACTATGACGTTACTTTAGCTAATATGGTGACAACGATGTAGGCTGTGTGTAGCGGTTTGGCTTGGAAAGGTTTTTTCGTCAGGTCACATACAGCTGATGTGTTGTGCATTGAAGTCCACAAGCGAAGGGATGAGGTGAGAGGACGAGAGTGCATAGATGCGAGAAGGAATACAACATGGCTGCTATGAAAGGGAACTGTGTTTACGCGTGATCAGGGGTGTATTCTGTTGAAAAACATTTCTTAAACGGAAGCAAATGGAACAAAAAGGGGATAAACATACCTGAATTTGTCCAATAGAAACTCTAATTGGCAACTGATGGACTAATGATCACACCCTATATCAGCTAGATGCAGGCAAGAGCGTGCAAGGCGGTATTGAATGTCACTGTCTGTCCATGTGTCACTATTTGTCACCTCAAATGTCTCTCGACCTGTGTGCACTTACGTTGTAAACTTTAATTCATAGGCTAGGTTGTAGCAACCTCATGATGGGTATAGGGAAAATTTGAGCATCATGTAGTAGCCTAAACCTATCGACGTTACATTGAACTGGGTGAATGGAATATGAATGACAGTCATCCAACATGCTGTAATAGAAATAAGGCCATGCTCATGAAGAAAAATCATCCTCCCTCATCTTAAATGGCATTGACCGCCACTGTATCCCCCATAGTAGAAAAGTTGACCCATTCTATTCTGTGCAAGAAATAAATATTCCAAACAGTCTGGGACAGTTGTGGGATGCAATAGATCCCAAATTTATTCAACCACTAGTATCAAGAAAACGGTTTTAAGCAATGAGCCTGACGCAACAGATGAGAATGTTTAGCTTAAAATGTTGATAAACTATTAGGCTATTTCTACACATTATAAGCACAGCAATGCGCGCACGGCAGTAGGCTATAAGCGCGAATGTTCCATTAGCAGGAAAAACCCATTCTCAAAAGAGACTACAAATGAGATTATGCATGTAATGCTTTTATTATAAAGGTGCATCTTTATGGTGAAAATGATATTCCCCAAACTGGAAACTGACGCACTGCGTATGTATGCCAGTTAGGCTCTACACCCGTTGTAAAGCGGATTAATGTGCTTAATGTTAAGAAGTTATTTGGCCACTGTAGTTGTGATACAAACCTTATCAAAACATATAGGCCTATGGGCTAGGCTACATGAGGTGTGCAACTATGATTTGAAAAGTCGCAAAAACAACATGTGCTGTTTCTTGCGTTAAACTGGGCATCATTCACAAGTGATAATATATCATTCACAAGTGATAGGCTAATATTGTCACCCCATCACACTATTCTTGATTTAATCGTGTCTTTTATATATACATGTCACGATCGTTGAGAGACGGGTCGGACCAAGGTGCAGCGTGAAAAGCGTACATGTTTATTCACCCAATAAACATACAAACCAAAACAAGAAACAACGTAACGTGAAGTCCAAAAGGCTATACACATACCAGTCTAACGGGAACAACATCCCACAATACACAGTAGGCAATAGGCTACCTAAGTATGATCCCCAATCAGAGACAACGAGCGACAGCTGCCTCTGATTGGGAATCACACCCGGCCAGACATAGAAATAGAAAACTAGAACTTAAACATAGAATGTCTAACATTGACTTCCAAACCCTGACTCAACAAACTAGAGTTCTATAGGTCAGGGCGTGACAATACAAAAAAATATATGTGTGAAATTTGTTTTGATTTAGAATGGACCATTATCACGCATCTATCTCAAAACAGGGGCAGTGCGCAAAAAATACATGTAATCTATGCACTTAAATAACGAATGGAGGACGCTTTTCCCTGTGGTTCATTTTCATGCCAGCTAGGTAGGCTATACTCCTGTTGTAAAGAGAAGCAATGTGCTTAATATTAGGAAAGTTGAGAAATAAAAATAGTATAGGCCTAGCCTATAGAAAGCTGATGGCATCCTCTTTTTTCTCACGCAATTATATAGCCTATAGAAATGTTGCGCAACATGAGCTCTCGTGAAGTGTTTGATTAGATTTTCGATTACATTTGCATTGATGTCAGAGTGATTAGTGGGGCAATAGAGTGCTGAGTACCAGGCAGTTAGCAAGTTTGGTAGGCTACTAATGACCATCAGCAGCATCAGAGCTTGGAGTAGCCTAATTACCATGACTAAACGGTCACGTGGAATTTGACTGCCGTCATGACTCGTGACCGCCGGTGTGGTGATAATACGGTCACCGTAACAGCCCTAACCATGTTGTGCTGCTGCCATGTTGTGTTGCTACTATGTTGTTGTCATGCTGTGTTGCTACTTGCTACCATGCTGTGTTGTCATGTGTTGCTGCCATGTTGTGTTGTTGTCTTAGGTCTCTCTTTATGTAGTGTTGTGGTGTCTCTTGTCTTGATGTGTGTTTTGTCCAAAACATTTCATCCCAGCTCCTGTCCCAGCAGGAGGCCTTTTTCCTCTTGGTAGGCCGTCATTGTAAATAAGAATTTGTTCTGTATTGACTTGCCTGGTTAAATAAAGGTT